TGTAATTTAATATTTCTATCCTTTCATACTTAAAATTGCTTGAGGAGGTCCAGACATTGACACATTTAAACGGTTAACTTAACGGAAGTTATATATTGATATAGAAGGGGTAGAGGAGAGAAATAGAATACCATAGATAGAAAGAAATACACAGAATACTATAGATAGATAGATAGATAGATAGATAGATAGATAGATAGAAAGAAACAGAAAACGATAGATAGGTAGAAAGAAAGAAAGAACGACAGAATCAGAATACGATAGAGAGAGAGACAGAATACAATAGATAGAAAGAAAGAAACCGGATACGATAGAAACAGAATAAGATGGATAGATAGAAACAGAATACGATAACTAGCTAGCTAGATAGACATATAGATAAATAAGTAGACAGAAACAGAATACGGTAGATAGATAAAAACAGAATACAACATATACGATTATAATAATCTATCTAGATAACTAGCTATATAGACATACGAATCGAATACAATAGATAAATAACATTAGAATGAGATGAATAGATAGGAATAACTTGAGATAGATAAATAGATTGACAGGAACAGAATGTGATCGATTGATCAATAGATAGATTGGAATAGAACGAAATAGATGGGAGGAGAACGAGAGAGATCGATCAATCGATAGTAAGGAATAAATTGAGATAGATAGCTTCCTCCCAAGAACTGACAGTCATTGGATGACATTTTTGCAGGCAACGAAAACAAATTTCATTTAACTCGCGAAGGGACTAAAGCTGTTAAAACTATTGTTTATCTATAAGACAATGGCTAGAAGACTGTTTGAATAGGTTTTTTTTTTCATCATGAAGATGTTCATCTTAAAAATAGTAGCCGTTTGAGTTAAAAAAATTCAAGGACTGGTACCACTTTGTCTGGCATGCGACAAACAAAGCGGAACATATTTTAGCTTGATTACTCTTCATTTAGTGATAAAACGACGTCGGAATTGGAATTAGCGAATTTCCTGAAATTTGTCTTTCAGCGTCAGTGAAAAATATCAGCAGTGGTTAGCAACTTTAGTTTTGTCAGACATTGATCGTCAGTTCGAACTCTGATGCGTATCACACTATTGTGACCATGGAGCTAGGCATAATTTGCTAGGGTTAGTCAATATTTGAATCTTCTTCGATGTGTTGAAGTCCTTCAGTGGTCGTTGATAGCTCTCTACAACGTTTGTCTTATTGGCATTCGTCTCAGTTTCCGTTCTGCCATTCATTTACATAAGTTGGTAAGGAATCTGTCCCGCTTTCCCCTTTGTCCTTTTTGTCTTCGATATGTCATGTGAGTGTCGAATTCTTGAAGCCGTCTTTTCTCCTTATGCAATATCTCTTTCTGTTTATGAGTATCTGCTCTCTTTGCTCCCATTTTCGTATAGACTTCTTCGTTGCTTACGCGCTCTGTTCATAGTATTCTCAACATCCTTCTGTAGAACCACATTTCTATTCACTGCTGTCTTTTCTTAATCTATGAGGAGATTGTCAAGTATCCACACTTTACTTTGTTTCCTGTTTCTTAATACTTTGATTAATGTTTGGAATGCATCTTTTGTTATTCCAATGCGTGTTCGGATTTCGGTGACACATTTTCCATCCTCTGTTAAAAAACTTCCCCGATATTTGAACTTCTGTATATTGTTTTATTTTGTTCAGTTTGACGACTGCTTGAGGGCCACGGTTATAAGAGTTTTGCAACGCTTTTATAGACAGTTTAATCATTATTGCTGAGTGTTTTATGAGCGTGGACAGGCTGCATAGCTTGAACCCAGTAAACATATTTTAGCTTTCCAAATGCCGTGAGGTGATGTTCAGCAGGCTATTCACACAAGTTACTGCAAGAGATTTTAAACTTTTTTCCTAAATGCTTCCCCAATGTAAAAACATAAACCTACTCAAAGTAGAAAGTTGCTGAGTAAAGTTGTTGTATAGACGTAAGAGGAGAGAGTAAGTGCTGAGTATTAGGATATGTAGAATAAGTAATGTTTGACCTTAGATTTAAAGAGGTCAAGATGATTGAGAAAGCATCACCTTGGGACTCTAATCCACAAAGTCAGTGTCGTCCCATACATGATTACACGTTTAGGCGATCATGTATCTTTCGATACATGACTGACGAGGCAGATTTTTTCCCGCAGTAGGTTGCCATTTCTTTCTGCGTCAGACCAACTGCTATCCAAATATAGAACCCGGTCTCTCCTGCTACTTATCCATAAATGTGGGGGAGGGGAAAAGAAGAGGATTCATACTTTTCCCAAAGGTATTAGCCCGTAAATATTCTTTAGGACTTCAACTAGAGTGATTCTGTCTTAGACTAGGTCAAGCCTGGTAAGTATTTATCTCAGTGAATATATACCAGTCAGTTCATCCATGAAAAGCATTGTATATTTATCTATGTATCGATTTTACGTATATCTAATTGCAGAAAAAAAAAGGAAAAAGAAAAAGTAGAAGACAAAATGCAGGTATATATAGATGCAAATAAATTGCTACAAAAATAAATTCTTTAAGTTTCTGCTATGATTCTTTTTTTTAATTTTAAAACAATACAGTTCCAAAGCACGTCTCATTATTTCTTTTGAGAATTACCTAGCGTTGAAGAGATGCTGCAATCATTTCTATACAGAAAGATATAAAAAAAATTTAATGGTTTTTATTAAGTTAAAAAAAAACATTTACAAAACTGAACATCTTGCATTCAAAACATTTGAGATTATCGTTTCTTTTTTATCTTTATTTATTTTTCCGATTTTTCTCTTCAATCGGAGAGTTAAGTCATCTATTTCTGGGGTACAAAATCTATGTCTATGTATATAAGTCTATTAGTAGTTACAAATCCTTATAGATTGTTTTGAATATTCGTTTTAAAAATCTGAAATATTAGAGAGACGTGAAGAAAAATTAGCTTGTTAATTATCGCTTTATAACAAGTCTCTCGTATAGATTTATAGATAGATAGATATGAAAAGAATGTCATCAATAGATAAGAATAGAGTACAATGGATAGATCGCAATAGAATGAAACAGACAGCAATAGAATACGACTGATAGAGCGATAAATAGATTAGAACAGATTGAGATAGATAACAGGATGATAGATAGGTATTGAACAGACATAGATAGATAGATAGATAGATAGATAGATAGATAGATAGATAGATAGATTTGGGTAGCATGGGGATTTTCCACCTGAAGAAAAGTTACTTTGTAACGTTGAAACAAAATATACAGTTTTGTAGTGGGTATGTACATGTTCTAATGTAACAGCGCATAATATATATATATATATATATATATATATATATATATATATATATATGCAATGAATACAGAATCATTAAGAATCCATTCGTTCGGGTGATAATTTATTTCGTTGACTTCAGAAGTCCATCTCTTCAGACCAGCTTTACAAAAATAGATAGAGTTCAATGTATTCAGACACAAGGAAAATGAAAAGAAGAAAAAAAGAGAAAAAGGAAAAAGTTTTAATATTAAAAGGAGAAAGAAAGAAAGCGGGGAGAAAGCCAGAAATTTCAATATAAGTTTTTTTACGGGAGAAGAGAAAGAGAGATGGACATGAGGAGGGGTGAGTGAAAAAGAGTGAGAGAGAGTGAGAAAGAAAAGAATTAAGCAAGTAGACAGGGTGACCCAGAAAAGATATTTTTCTTCCGGGACTTGACAAGTTAAAAAATAGGGTGGGGGAAGGGAGTAATCATATTCAAAATAAATGCATTTAAGCTGTATTGTCATTTTAAGCACTGAAACAATTATCATCGGATTATAACCGTAACAATTATAAACTACTACTACTACTACTATTATTAAATAATTTCATTGAGTTCTCTTTGGATTTATATCCTCCTTGGAATTATCCCTACTAATCTCCAACTGACACTATATATATATATATATATATATATATATATATATATATTCATTTCTTCCTTTGTCAGGTTTGAATACAGCAGCAAACTTCAGGGTAGTCGTGAACAGATCCCTCGATATTGACTGGTAGTTATCACAATATCGAACTGTATTAGGTGCAATAAACCTGATTGCACCCTAATACAGTTCGATATTGTGGATTATATATATATATATATATATATATATATATATATATATATAGAGAGAGAGAGAGAGAGAGAGAGAGAGAGAGAAAGAGAGAGAGAGAGAGAGAGAAAAGAGAGAGAGAGAGTGAGATGGAGGTGAAAGGCTGTGAAAGGTTGTTAGACCCAATCGTCTTGGTCTGACGATTGTGTCTAGCATGAAACAGCCCATCGCCTCTAAGTGTTGACTTCAATGTTCACTTTTATATTTACACACGCTCTATCTCTGATATTGAGCACTTTATCCTATGAATATAGCCCACGTTTATATTTCTTCATATATATATATATATATATATATATATATATATATATATATATATATATATATATATATATATAAGGAGAGAGAAAGAGAGAGAGAGAGATACAAACAGGTTGAGATAGATGAGAATAGAATAGAATGTGAGTGATAGATTTTTCTTCTTGATCAATGCGTGAAGTCAACTGTTTCTGGGGTACAAAAATCTCCGTCTATCTATGCAGGTCTATTAATAGTTAGAATCCAGTGAAACAATGCAACAAAGACAGATTGTCGCATTATTTTCTTTGATTTTTATCGGTTCAAGCCAATTGTCTTTTTCTTTTCCTTTGAAAGGGGAATGCATACATCAATCTGAAAGAACCGACAATCCATAGAAAATGCTGACGAGACATTGCACTCAATCTGACAAAGCTGACAATGGATTCAGCAGCCATATTCGCTGCTTCCGATCTCACAAGATAAGCACATTTCGTCTTTGTAGTAATTTAACTCCTCATTCTTTTCATTCTGCTTGCTTGATCACTGTCATGTATGTCTCCCCATACCGAGTAAAGTATCAATCCCAAGGGTGTTATCTCTTATATTTGAGACTTACAGACATAACAACTTCATTTACCGGTTCTCGTACGAACACGGAAGTTAAGCAACGTTGAGCCTGGTCAGTACCTAGATGGATGACTGCTTGGAAATACTAGATGCTTTGATATGCGATTGTTGAAAAGTATAACAACTTGGAATTGTAGATAGGAGAGCCGAGTTCCAGTTCCTGTCGGGGCCTTGGAAAAGGCATGAATCCACCTCTTCTCTTCCACATGGCTTAGATAGGAGGACTTGTCAGTAAATCATTATTATAAAAAAAAATATCTTACAATTTAAAAAATATTTCCTAGTTTTAAATAACCGGTAAAAGTTTGATAAATCGTAAAAAACAAATTAATAAACTAATCAAATTTTATATTTGGTTTGTGTTATAGTGTAGTTTTCACAGTGGAGGCTTGTATTTCTCTAAGTCGGTCCTAAAAAGGTTCGACGTACAAAACGTTAGGAACTTGATATAATAGTTAATGACGCAGCAATCTAATTGTGGTGGTTGATACTTTAATGTCCGACATCGACTGACTCACCAACTCACTCTCAGTGACCTCGCGACTGCTACTACTATTACTTATTATATGTGGGAGAGTCTATTAACTATAGAATAGGTGTGTTCCAGTATAACAGTTTGTTTGCGCGTTAGGCCTTAGAGAATATGCTACTCACATGACACACTGAAGATAAGAGCGGCAGAATAAAAGAGTTTGTATCATGCTTAAGGATTGCCGAACAGAAAGTGTGAGGGATAGTAAGAAAAGAAATATCATTACGAAGAATATGGAGTTGTGAAATCTGGAAAGATCGTGATAACATTTAAATATTTAGAAACTGTTCCATACATTGTATTTTCAAATTGGAAATTTTTTGAGGTCTATGAATAGCGTTTGTTATGCAGGCTATAAATAGGATATGAGGTAATGATTATATAGATTTATCGGGCCCACTGGTCCTAATAAGCGGTGATGCCCGAAAATATGGAGTCGATAAGAATGAATCAATTGAAGACATATATATAATGACTATTGTTACATTCTTGACAAATATTCTGGTTTTAAAATACGTTGATTCTAGTAATTTCTAGCATCCTGAAAAGGTTATTATATATATATATATATATATATATATATATATATATATGTGTGTGTGTGTGTGTGTGTGTGTGTGTGTGTGAAAAGAAATATAGTCTTAAGGTGTGCTATATTTTTCTAATAAGATTTCTCTTAAATACAGGATGGTAGATAGAAATATATTTACCAATCTGAATATTCGAGAAATCTTATTAGAAGAATACGAATTCTTTGGCCGGATTCGAATACGCGTTCTCCCCCCACTCAAAAAAAAGGCATTAGATCTTCCATGCTTTGATCTCTCGGCCACGAAGTATTTCCTGGTCAGGCAAAGCCCGGATAGTGCTTTGGAACACAAAACTTTTCCCATTCTAGAAATCGGCATATCTGTTCAGTTTCGTATCGTAACGTAAACAAAGCAATTTCTAAAGAAAGGGATGGATTTTTTTTTATTTATTAATCCGACAGTTTATTTATTACTTAAGTAGACGCTTCGTTTATTTATTAAGTAGTATATGCATTTGTTTTCCTCTACCGGACAGAATATTCGAGAAATCTTAGAGAAAATTATGTACTCTTCGGTAGGATTCATACGCTTCATTTATTTATTAAACAATTTATTTCTTCATTTTTGTCTACCGGCCTGAATTTTCGAAAAATCTCATTAGAGAAAAATATGCCCTCTTCAGCAGGATTCGACCCTGTTTTTCCCTGGCGGGGGAAATGTCATGAGATCTTTCGTGCTTCGGACCACAATTCAACGGATGACCAAGCATAGTCTGAATAGTACTTTTAAATATAGATTTTTCTCCGAATCTCTCAATTATCTGCTTAGTTTCGTATCCTAAAGTAAACGAAGACAATTTTTTAGGAAAGGGTTTTTCATTTGTTAATCAGACGTATTTTATTTTATTGCTTAAAAGTTCTATTTACTGGATACTCATATTTTAGTAGCTGCACTATTTATTTATTAAACTGTATATTTATTTCCATCTACTGGCCTGAATATTCGAGAAATTTTTATTAGAATAATATGAATTCTGCCGGAGAAAATATATGTCTATCTGTGTATGCGTGTTTTATTTCTGTGTATTATAGTAGAGATTTTCCAAACGTAGCTTAGATGTGGCACAAGGCCGAAAGTATGGGGCACCCAGTGAGGATCGAACTCACTACTCAGTCGTAATTGTTCTAGCGAGCCAAGCTTGCTAACCATTACACCACGCCGAGGTGTCCCTGTGTATTATAGAATATACGTGTTTACTATAGGGTTTCTTTGATAGAGTTTTGAACCAAATCCAAATGAGTTATCCGAGTAAATTCCCAGAAAGAAGAGATTGTCACTCTATTTAGACTTCACAGAATTTCTGCCAAAGGTCATTTTTTTTGACTGCCAACTCCTCCACAACCGCAGCCCAAAACAAAAATGACCAAAAACTCGATGCAAAATTTAAAGCTATGTCTAATTCATATTTGTATCAAGCTTTCACCCACTGTCGCTCATTTAGAAGACGCGGAATAAAGTGGTAAATATTTCATTTGATTTCGCATTGAGAATTTATAGAGATATTGCAAACAACATTTTTGGATTTCATCAAAAATCGATCGATATCATATCGATTATTGGATCACACTGCATTCAGCTTTCTGACATCAACAGCGTTTGCAACTACATCAGTTAAGTCGACGCATAAGCAAAAATTAAGCTTGTACGCATCCGTGTCGATTCTGTACATATTTGCGCATGCTCACGCAAACAGCTCCAAACATTCGTTACCTACAATTACATACAGATACGCCGAAATAAAAACAAAACAAAACAAAAAGCAAAAACAACAAAAACTAAAACAAAGCATAAAAGAACAAAACAGAAAGATGTATTTTCATAAGACACAATTGGCCCAAGGACTGACGAAGATACGCCTACTTACATTATGACAAGACTCATATCGTCGATAGGAAATGGCGCACACAAATGTATTCAATGACGTAGGTATGCACAAAAGAAACATTAATATACTTATGTACGGAGGTAAGTATGAAAGACGTGCCACTGAGTGAGAAGCCGCTTGTTGAAGTGTTGTGGTAATGCATTTGACTCATGAATTCACTTATGTAAGTTGGTCTTTAGTTTTGGATTGGTAAACTGCAAGTGAATATCACATCCTCTCCACCTCTTTCTCAATATATATATATATATATATATATATATATATTGAAACTGAGAAGAAATTGTAATGTATTTATATAATAATATAAAGAAAAACAATGATATTCAATAGAAAAATTCAATATATTCGCAAAAAAAAAAAAAATTATTTGGACACAGGTTTAACTGAGAGCTCGAATTAACTGGTTTTCAATGTTGGGCATTGTTATTTAGAAATATAGTGGAGTGATTTTTTGTTGCTTTTTCCTATCTATCTATCTATCTATCTATCTAAGAATTTTCTATTTTGGTCTTAGTACATCGAAATCGTCCAATTGATTGTTAATCCCGAACACTTTGGATTTGCAAATGGTCGGTTGTTGAAATTTAGATATGTAACTAATTTCCTAGTACGGTCAGTATATTATGGCCGTGTTCGTAGTTGATGTTAAGCTTTGTATTTTTGATTTTACAATAGCGGTTTGTAATTTCTTAGATTTTTTGCAGTTATATGGTTACATTATAGTTGTGTTTTCGACGTGTAATGTTACATATTAAAGCTGATACGTTTTCATCTTGGTTTAAATGAGCTATGTTCCGAGAGAGATAAGGTCAGTTGTCTTGATGAGTGATTGTATGGCCGATGTAATTATTCATAATATATATATATATATATATATATATATATATATATATATATATATATATATATATATATTTGATTTTTACTACAAGCTTTCGTCTGTTCCTACAGACATCTTCAGGTATGGAATAGATATTGTTCTTGTTTTTCTCTTAGTAATAAGAGGACAACGAAAATATATGTATTGTTGTATCCGAAAATGCTATTGGAAATGAGTTATTGTTTTTGACAGAAAATTTACCAGTAAAAAATTCGTTTATCACCTTATTTGTACATGAACGCACAACTGTAAAAAACTTAAAATCAAACTCAGCGTTGCTATTGTACGCTCCAAAAACAATTGTAGTAAGAACTAATACGGCAGAAATTTATAGAAACAAGGATCTTTTCATTCATAACGGATTCGGAGGTTTTTGTATATTATTTGAATTGTTTGCGACGATGGATTTCTCGCCAATTAAATCATTAACCTTTTGCATTTGTTTTGTGTGAATAATTCATGAATATATATATATATATATATATATATATATATATATATATATATGTGCGTGTGTGTGTGCGTGTGTGTGGGGAGAGAGAGAAAGAAAAGTTTTGATATAGAAATGGATACTGCATCGTGACTGTCAGTTTCAAATCTTATGCGATCAACCGATAATCTGAAGATCGTTCAAGGCGTTAAACTGACAGTGACCATGCAATGTTGATTTCTATGTCCGCTGCTTACAGTCAAATCATGCTGTAAACACCGGTTCTCTTTGGATCACCGAAGTTAAGCAGATAGATATGAACAGAGACGGATATATATATATATATATATATATATATATATATATATATATATAGAGAGAGAGAGAGAGAGAGAGTGAAAGAGAGAAAGAGAGCTAGAGAGAGCTAGACAGATATGAAACTAGTGAGATAAATAGATAGATATAAAGAGACTGTCATAGATAGATATTAAAAACGGAAATAGAAAGAAGAAAATAGTTAAATATGTAGGGAAACAGCATTCAACATGATACATTATGTGTATACAAACGATTCCCAAATTGTTTTATTTTTGTCTTTTTAATCATTTCACCCCAGGCAAGGTGATAATGCCATTCGGCTACAAATGATTACTGAGAGTGAAATAGAATGAAACTAATTTAGTGAGATGAAGAGACAATAAAAGAACAAGATTCAGGAAGACAGAAGATGTCGATTGACGTTGCTTTTAAATTTTGAAGACTGTAGGTTGTAGGGG